CATGATCATTTAAATACCAAATTAACCCAACTTAATTGATCACTTCAGTGGGTTATCCTGAAAGATAGCAATACACAATGATTAATCATATGTGCCCACAAATAGATTTATTAGATTAAATCCAACAGCGAAAAAATAAAGTTAACATGTTATCAGTGTAACTTAACAAGCGAACAAATAAAGTTAACATGTTTCCGATGACATTTACCAAATAAACTGCAAAAGGGAACATGTTAACGGATTATGCTAACATGCTTTGTATTATAGGTAACATGTTAAATCTTGTGAACTATATCCCTGGCTGTAATGCGAAAATGTCCATTCATTCAATGTTTACATTGTGAACAGAAATAATAGCAAAACAGCATCAATCTTTACAAACAAACAAAGAAAAAAATCTAAGCTTCTGGAAAAATTTAACATCAAGACCTCTAACTTCAACTAAGAAAAATTGTGCACGATGATTAAAACATTGCCAGTGAAAGATTATAACACCTTGAATGCAAAATTGTTCGCGGGAAAAATTGTCTTCTTCATTGATTCCATCGATTACAAAGATCCGGTCTTTTTATAAGATCCGGTTACAACGAGATCAAAAAAGAAATAAAAATTACAACTTTCCTTGAACGAATCACGAGCTCCTGTTTTGCGATCACTCGCTTTTGTGGGTTCTTCGCCTGCGCCGGGGTTAATCCGTGGACCACCGCGCGATCTAGATCTGGTCGGATCTACACGGTATAACGGGTGTTATCTCACAAAGGAAATAACAGTCGGGGGGTACTACTTCACCAAGGAAATAGTAGCCTTCTCGGGATCAAAGGCCAAGCTTTGATCCGGAGTATAATCGCGTAGATCTCAGATCCGATCCCTCTCGAACTCCTGCCTCTTTTGACGTGGACGATCGCCGAGCACCGGATCTGAAGGAGCAAGTCTTCAAAGCTTCAAATCTCCAAGGTTCAGATCTCAATTCAGCAGAGCTTCGCCGTCAAAAATTCCAACCTCTCACAAATGAGCCATCAGCCTCTATTTATAGGCACCCAGGAAGCGGATCTGGGCCCAGGTCAGAGCGTGGCTCGGCCACCGAGCCACCCATTTTGGGGTGGCTCGGCCACCGAGCCACCCCTTGGGTGGCTTGGTTTTTGGCCGGGTGTTCGCCGTTGCGTCCGTTGTCCGGTTTCGCGGTTTATCCAAGTTTTATTGTTGATCTGGACTCTGATTTGGTGTCCGGATCCTGATTTGGCAGTAAATCCGCTTCGTCGTTGATCTGAACTCTGATTTGGAAGTCCGGATCCAGATTTGACAGTAAATCCGCCTTGGTGTTTGAGTTCGAATCCGTTCTATGGTTGGATGACTCGTTGACTCACTGAACCGTTAGCTTGATTCCGCATGCGAGTGGATGTATTCCATTGTTTGCGTGTGGTTCGTTAGCCTCGTCGCCTCGTTGATCCGCTTCGTTGCGTGTCTTTTGGCTTTGGTATTATGGACTAACGATCGTGTTTGGATATGTCGCCCGATGGTTCGTTGGTTTGTCGAATCACCGTGCTGAGCTGTGCTAAGGGACTCATAGGCAGTTTTATACGCCTACAAAAATAAAACAAGATGATGAAGGTAAATGACCAAATGTAGGCAAGATAAAGGGAACATGTAAACTCCCTGATTGTCGTCTCCATCTCCGATTTCAGACTATCCTTTTGCTTCAAGATCTCATCTTTATCCCTAATTGCATCCGCTAGTTGCTTCAAGACCTCGTCTTTTTCCTTGGTTGAATCAGCGAGCTTGGAATTGGCCTGGTTTTTGTCTCGTACGGCATCGTCACGCTTCTTGATGACGTCCTGGCCAAGGCGCGGAGGCGGTTGATGGACTACGGAGATCTGCTCTATCTCGGGGGGATGGGGCGACGGGGGAGAGAACGGAACCCTCAAAACTCAAGAGGGGTAGACAGAGGAGGAGAAGAAGAAGAGGAAGAAGGGTAGCGATGGTGACGGCGGGGGCTACGACTGAGGATGGAGTCGACGAGGTCGAGGGGAGGCGGAGGTGGCAGCGGTGTTGGAGGTTCCCAGCGAGGTTGGAGAGAGGGTGGAAGAGGAGATGGGAGGAGAAGGAGAAGATCCGAAGAAGAAGATGGTAGTTTGGTTTTTTTTTGAGATTTATTCTATTGGGAATTGTAAAAAGGGCTGAATCACATTAACTTTTCATTTTAGGGTTAATACACATTAGAAAAAGTACAATGGGTTGAGACACATCACCTTTTGGATTTTGGGGCCTTCAAGAAAATTTTCCTTGTTTGTAATTTTATGAGTTAACATGCAAATAAAAATATTTTGAGAGGTGTATATTGGCCTTGATCATCAATATAAATTTATGGCGTAGTGCTCTTATCGTATTAAGTGCAAAAAATAAAAAATATTTTGGTGGTTTGCTAAAATTCAGAAACTTATTGTGTGTTTTAGAAAAATTGTAGGCTTAGTGCCAAACGGCTAAACTTATTAAAGGTTTACTAGAATCTTTTAAAAAATTAAGATGATCCATGTGATAATTTTTTGAAATGTTAGGCTAATTGGTAAAGCATTAATATATTCTTTATAAATAAAACAAAGGATATTTAAACACATGATTGTCATTTTTTAAAATTATGGATAATTAAAGATAATTAAAAATATATTATTTAATTGTTTAATTATGGATAGTTCTAAATTGATTACGATTACCAATTATTTAATTACAATTAAAAATTTAATGGATATATTTAATTTGATGATGATTCTAATTATGCACTGAGAATACACATTCATATAAGAATTCTAATTTAATATTAAAATAACATATGCCATTTGTTATTATTTTATGCGCTCGGGTGTCCTTGTTTGATACCTTTAGGCCATGTTTGTTTTTGATAATCTGACTAGAGGGTACTATAATACCGGACTATAGTCCCAAGATGGTATTTCCCGGAACTATTTTAGCCTAGTCTAACATTTGTTTTTCACATGGACTAACACTCAAACTAACTTAAAATAGTCCAGACTAGTGTTTATTTTTAGAGGATTATAATTATTAGGACTAATATCATAATCAAAATGACCTTATCGCCCTCCAATTAACTCATACTATATTAATCCATTTGTTTGGAAAAACATTGCAAAATATAAACATTATACTGTCTACAAAATAGGCATACTATTCTATACCTAATAAGAAACAATAAACAATCTTATTCATTCAACAATGCACAATCAATAAAAAAACATCTAATTAGTACTATGCTTGTATGCATATATACATTAAGAATTAATAAAAAAAATTAGACTTGTAAAATAAAATTAAATTGATGAGTAAAATACTAGCTTTGACAACTATATTTTAATTTGAGAGTTGTTAGTTTATAACGTTGGAATATATACATTATTTTTTTATTAGAGAGGACATGAATACATACGTTGTTAAGTTCACATGGTAACGCTGGATAATTTGCTCTATTGTTTTAGAGCACTAATCTTGTGAGCATGAACTGCCATGTACCTATGTAGATAGTTTATATTAATTTTGATGAGATGAAGCCAAATCATATTATCAAGTCTCTGCAGCATCGCTGGTTATTATAATTTGGATTTCATGAGGAGACGAAAGGACCTTCTACTGTTAGCGAGAAAGAAAAAGGAAAAACAATTCATGCGAGAATGAGTTGCAGCTCGCTGTAAGAAAAATGGAAAAAATCACTTGGAAATAAACAAAGGAATGCACAAAAGTTTTGAGAGATTAAGGACAATCTAGTCCAAAAGTTTTGGTCCGAACTGTACAATTAATACTTGGACTATAAAGGTGAGGGCACTGAGGGGGGAGGTGAGTTTAATTAGTCCCCCTTCTGGGGTATAATCTAATCCCTCATTAAAAATAGTGAAAACCCAATAAAAAAGCAAACATGCTATAAAATGGTGGGTCCGGGATATTTTAAAATAATATCCGGACTATTAAGAAAACATACATGATCTTAGGAGTACAACCAATTTCTCATTATATATAAAGGAGAGATTTATTATTTTCTTAAAGGTGTTTTTGAAAATTAGGAAAGAAGTGTTATCTTAGTTTTATAATTGAACATGGACTTATCATAAACCTTTTGCCACAATAATAAAATTACAAAATATTTTTATTGTCAATTAAGATGTATAGTTTGGAATAGATTGTACCATTAAAAAAAGTATTTGATGTCAACTAATTTTACTATATCTATCAAGAGATAGAGTAATAAGAGAATGATCTTGATGGGAACTTTGAAGCAAGTTGATCTCATTATTGACAATCTTTTAGTAAGCTTATTTTGCAAAATGAGGTGATATACCATAACTGCTATTTCCTTATAACATTATAATCAAATAATAACCCGTAGGGCTAGGCAACAGTGTAAGACCCTACCGTGTTCCTGCTGGGGGGATGATCCATAGCGGGGTAGTCCCATGTTCGAATCCCTCAACAGGTAAAAACTATCGGGCCAGTGCCAACCACGCAGCGTGAGTAGGGATTAGTGCCATCTATAATAAGATGTGGGGATACCTCATAAAAAAATCAAATAATCTCTGAAGGTTTCTCAAAAAAAAAAATCACTGAACAAAAAAATACCAGGGAAAAAGTTAAAATAAAATAGAGAATTCTTTAATTGTAGGTGAGTCGGCAAAAAAATATGGGAGATGGTTATAGCTTTTTTTTTTTTTGATTAATTGATGCGTATACTTTTACGAACAATAACATGTGAGGAGTAAAACTAATAGCGCGTGCATGGGCTTCTCCCGTCGCGTTAGAAAATCGAGTGGACCCGAAAAGTTCACCAAACCATGTCTCACGTACAAAGGGCACTTGGACTTAAACTACATCATGGGCTTGGCCCTAATACAAGGACCAGAACACCTTTGGGCCTACATACTTATACACGGGACGCGTCAAGGTATATGTCGACCCGTTAGGAGCCTTCTTCTATACTGTATATTTCGGATCCAGTTACGAATTGGATCACAATCCACGAGAGCAGCAATTAGTAGGCAGAAAAATACGCCCTGCCCTCTTTCTCTCTGCTATGCCCATCACTTTCCCTCTCTAAAAACAGAACTAGAAGAAGATGACCGATGCTGCGACAACGGAGGACGCCGCTCGCCGGCGGAACGTGACGGCGGAGTACAGGAAGAAGCTGCTCCAGTACAAGGAGATCGAGTCCAGAGTTCGTACAGGTCTCCATCGATCCTTTTTATTGCCTTTTACTTTGAGTAAATTAGGGTTTCATCTCAATAAATTTGGACTAGAGTAATGGTATTTATTATTAGGGTTTGAGTTTTTTTAGGGATTTTCCTGATTGGGAGAGCTGAGATCTGTGTTAGGGTTTTGGTTTGTGAGAGATTTTTTCGACCTTTGCTCTTGGGAGTTTGGTTAGAAGTGGTTAAAGTTGGTATCTTGGAGTTGAAATTGATTTTTATAAGTGAAGTAAGCAACGACTTTTGGTTAGGGATGGAATTGGATGTTGAGCTTTGGTAAAAATTTTAGTTTTTATAGTTGGATGAATTATTAGGGATAGCAAGATCTTAAATCATAAGATTTAGGAGAATGTTCTGTGGAGTTCTTGATAAAAATTAAGGTCAAAGCTAGGTTACCTTGTCGCAGTGAAGGTGGAGCAAGAGAGTAACTTATTACAGGGCTCCAATAATTGCTTACTTTGCTTTATTTGTTTAGTCATATATCTACTTTGATAAATTTTTAATTCAATTAGCTGACCTTCCCCATATATTACACATGCTTACAACTAATAAGTCCAAGTCAATGTTGGACATTTTATATGAAACCAATCAAATCTATAAAAAAATTAAATATAATAGTAAAATAGAGAAATAAATTTGCTGGCTTGAAAGGGCCGTCGTGATATCACTGCCCTAAAACAACAGTTGTTGCCTTCGCAGAGATAGATGAATGCGACTGTGAACTAGCTGTAAAAGTTCCCTGAGGTAGCTGGCACTAGGGGTTATTGCGAATCTCAAGCCTCTTGTTAAGTGGATGCTTGCCCGATGAGAAATCGACAGAAAATAAAGTCAAAAGTAAGATAATTGCTTTTTGAGAGGGAGAATAGGTCATTGATACTGATTTTCTTGTGGTTTTATAGCCTCTCGGAGAAGATCTGTTTCCACATGCATCCAAAGAGAACTTGTCACTCGCGAAGGGAAAGAAACGGAAGAAGATGGTTCGGTGATATTTATTTTTTAGAAACAGAATAATGAGATATTTGGATGAGATATTTGAAGAATTGGATGAAGAAGGGAATATTCTTTGGGAATTCATTTATATCCCTTAAGAATTCATATTTGCAAAAGAATCGAAAATCAATCTTTTCTAATAATTTTTCCAACAGTCAATATATTCTGTTGGAAACTGGAGCCATGCACAAGCATTTGTCTAATGTCAATGAGCTTAAAAATGATGAGACAGATGAACTAGAGAGATTATGGTTTAGTAAGCATATAAAGGTTAGCATCATGAGATGAGTAAAATGGAGGAGGTATTTGTGTTGCATAGGTTGAGAAGCATGGTGTACAAGTTAAAGTTGCAACTTGCAAGTGTATGTGCATAGCGAGATTTTGAGGTTTGCTGCTATACTTGAATGTCACTTAATATGAGGTAGGACCTGTGTATTACTTATTAGCCTAATTTCATGTGACCAGCAAAATGCACCTGAACTAAGGAAAGTCTACAGATGAAATGATAAGTTGCCATGATTGCTACGATGTTGATTTTAGGCAAAATAAACCATGAGAGCAAAGCTGTCTAAGAGGCCCTTGATTTTGTTGATTCCAAAAGGGAACAAAAGAATGTTATAGATTACTTCTGGCTTCTGCCAAACACAATCACCTGTCCTATTAAAATGACATTTTTCTTTTTCCATTTTTTTTTTGGGGGGGGGGGGGGGTGTTGGATTCTACGCATATTACATATTTCTTCAATATAATTAGTAATACTTCAAAGCAACCTTCTTTTGGAGTCTGCCAAGAACAGAGGCAGAAGTATTTAACTGTCAATTGCTTGTTTTATGCATGTGAGAAAGCTGATAGTAGGTGTTATCACCATTTATTTGAGAATCTGTTGGTCATTTACCCCCCAAAAAAGGTCATCTGGTTTTGTCAATTGAAGATCTTGGATTATTTTTTGTAGGAAGAGTCAGCTTACATTTATTTCTACACTGTTTGTGTGTAATGTGTTTATATATCTGTACAGTAAGTACTAGGCAGAACTCGTGATTGTTCTAAACAATCAAATCTTGTCAGCTTTGCATGAGGCATTATCAGACTCGGACATTTCATCTTCGAAACAGTTCCGATGTTTGTCTATTGAAGGTCTTACAGAGGCAGGAGTATTTAACTGTCAATTGCTCATTTTATGCATGTGAGAAATCTGATAGTCGGTATTATCACCTTTTATTTGAGAATTTGTTGGACATTTCACCGGAAAAAGGTCATCTGGTTTTGTCAATTGAATATCTTGGATTATTTTTTGTAGGAAGAGTCAGCTTACATTTATTTCTACACTGTTTGCATATAGTGTGTTTATATATCCGTACAGTAAGTACTAGAGAGAACTTATGTGATCGTTCTAAACAATCAAATCTTGTCAGCTTTGCGTGAGGCATTGTCAGACTCGGATACTTCATCTTCGAAACTGTTGCGATGTTTGTCTATTGAGAATCTTACAAATAGCAACTACGAATCAGATTATTCTGGTCACTATGATATATATTTGCTTGCTTATAGACACACACATTAGTGCTAGAGAAAATATATGTATGTGATGATGTCCATTGCCATCTCTTAGTAGATTCATATCATATTCCATGTGTTTTTTTTGCCTAATCATAGACTAGTAATTGCATGGTTTATGGCTAAATTAATTTGTTAACTTCATTATTTACCTGAAATTATATGTTGGAAATCATAAATGCAGTTAGAGAGAACTTGAGAGGGGCAAAGAAGGAGTTTGCAAAAACTGAAGATGATTTGAAATCCCTCCAAAGTGTTGGGCAGATTATAGGAGAGGTTCTTCGGCCGCTTGACAATGAACGCTGTAAGTAATGAATCCGTAATTCAGCACTATATGCCTTATAGCCCTCTTTAGTTGGTTTACTTAAATATTCACATTTGTTTCTTGTTAGTGCTTAATATGCTTGACAGCATGCTAAATGATATTACTTGTCCATAATAGTATTTAAATATTCATGTTTATTTCTTGTTAGTGCTGGATGTGCTTGACAGCATGCTAAATGATATTACTTGTCCTTAAAAGCATCCCGCAGAGGATCAAGGAATCTTAGTGTCATACTGTTTAAATTAAAAGTTTTTTGGTTAAAGAACCTTAAGTTATCAAAGTTCTCGGTGTTTGTTAAGTAGTATGAAGATAAGTGGAGACATTTGCCTCTAATTCAATTAGTTCCTGATCAACTGCTTCAGCATGTGAACAGATGCTCGTAAACATCTTTGTGCACAAAAAGAATGATACAAAGGCTTCTCTCAAGGCAACACTAGATTCTCTCACACGCAAAAACAGCTATATATTCTACTTAGTTTACATACAATGGATGTTTTGCTTCAAGGCAACACTGGTGTATTGTTGAACATTAAGTATACAATGGATAATTTGCTTTCTCTTTCAGTAATAGTAAAAGCTAGCAGTGGGCCAAGATATGTTGTTGGATGCCGCAGTAAGGTGGATAAAGAGAAGCTTACAGCTGGAACCCGTGTGGTTCTGGATATGACAACTCTCACCATCATGCGAGCTCTTCCACGAGAGGTACGGATTTTTTTTTATTACTATTTACATGATCAGCTTGGGGTAATCAATTACGTGTATTTTACTTCTATATGATCAAGAAACATTCTATTTTTTCATACAGGTCGATCCTGTTGTCTACAATATGCTTCATGAAGATCCGGGCAATGTCAGCTACTCTGCAGTTGGTGGATTATCTGATCAGATTCGCGAACTTAGAGAATCCATTGAACTGCCTCTCATGAATCCCGAGCTCTTCCTTAGAGTGGGAATCAAACCCCCAAAGGTAAAATCTAATTGCTGTCAGGAAATGGCATTTCTTCTTGTGAGATGCTTTATTGCTGTATTGCTAAAGCTGTTTTCTTAGGAAAGCTAAGATTGAAGTTACATGGCTTACCGTGGCAAGAAGGCTTTATAATAAGTATTTTGATAATGACAGGGTGTACTCCTCTATGGCCCTCCTGGAACAGGGAAAACATTATTGGCAAGAGCAATTGCCAGTAATATAGATGCAAACTTTCTGAAGGTAATACATTGTATTTTTGTGGGAACAAATGATTCAACTGTTTATATTTAAGCTGATTTTTGTTCTCCATTCTTACAGGTTGTGTCTAGTGCTATTATTGATAAATACATAGGTGAAAGTGCACGGTTAATAAGGGAAATGTTTGGCTATGCCCGTGATCACCAAGTAAGAACCGATCCAATTCCCATTGTTTTGAACATCTGTGCATCTTGACTTGTTGAGCATTTCACTGCGTAGTAGTTATGCGATTCATAAAGAGTAAGAAGAGAGGAAAGCAAAGATTTCCTTTCCTTTATTTGGGCTTCACAAACAAGTGAAAAGAAAACAAAATGAGCATTATGTGTTGGTTGATTCTTTAATATATATTATTATACCACTCTATTTGGCCTGCCTGTCTTTATGTGCTGTTGATACATTTATTCTAATACTCTACTTGTCTTTTTAAGCCATGCATCATATTTATGGATGAAATCGATGCCATTGGTGGACGTCGTTTTAGTGAGGGAACCAGTGCAGACCGAGAAATTCAGAGAACATTAATGGAACTGCTCAATCAATTGGATGGATTTGATCAGTTAGGCAAGGTATGTTCTTGCTTTCTTTTTTTCAATTGTTGCTACAAAGGTCAATTATGTTTATCTAATTTAATATGCGAACCAGCTGGTCAATCCTTTAATCCCCCCCCCACCCACCCAAACCCCAACCCAATAAAAATAAAAAATAAAAAAACAAAATAAATAAATATAAAAAGCGGAGGGGTGCGGGGAGTAAATGTCATGCCAATTTAGAGTTATTATACGAGATCTAATTCAGAGTGTGAGACTAAATTTATACAATATAACCCAACAACTTTTTTTATTGCTATTTCACAAATGTTTTACATAATAAGGTTCTCTTGTTCAAGCTATATTTACAAGACAAACTTTTATCTTTACTTTGTCGCAGTGCTCTCTCTATACTTCCGCCTGATTTGAAAAGGTTGGGTTAATTAAAGGGTGAGCTACACTAGCTCAGTGAGATTACCAATAAGTGTAGTTAACAATCAATATACAATTAATTTTAAAAATTAGCTCAATTATAAATTGGTGAAAAATAACGCATGAAATGTAATTTCCTTAATTATCATTTTACATGCCAATATCTCCTTGTGTTCCCATCCACGATAAAACAATAATGATAGCAATATCAAATTGAGGCTTAAGCCTCGCATAATCCAGATATATGTCGATCAATCAATTAATAACGTAGTTAAAATTGATGGTTCCTTTTGTTTAACCAATATTTACGGTAGTTAGGTTGTATGTAGTACGCAAGTATGATGAAATCCGATAACAATGCGATCAATAATTATTAATTATTTATATCACATCTATAACATGAAAAGTTGAATTCAATTGAATTATCTAACTTATAACTTATGACATTTTATAAAATTACTCTTTAGTAGGAGGAAACCATGGTTATTTGAAAATGAATCATAATCATAATGAAAGAAAGGGAGTTTTGGCATATGAATTAATAAAACAAAAGAATAGGACAAAAACATTGCACGTTATGACATCAACA